AAGGTGTTTTGAAAAGATTGTGCTTCTCTTTGTTCAACCCAAAGCACAGACAGTCCTTCCAGAATCCCTACCTATTAGATTGTCCATCACCAGGGTTCCAAGATTTCCCTCACTTTTATTTCTCCATTAGCAGGGAGAAATCTGATGGCTTTGACAAAGGAATCTGTCCCAACCAAAAAGTCAGGCTCCTATAAGTCTTCTTTTATTCCTATTTATTTTTATTTTGGGGTCGCACCAGGCAAAACTCAAGGGTAAACTCTAGTCTCCACACTCAGGAATCACTCCTGTCAGACTCAGGGAACAAGATGGGGTACTAGGGATCAAACCTGGGTGGCCACATGAAAGGCAGGTATCAGATCTGTATCTCAGCACCCCCTGCGTCTTCTTTGTGACAAGACTTCTGGGAATATATCCCGAGATGCAAAAAAGTATAGTAGAAATGACATCTGCGCTTGTATGTTCATTGCTGCACTGTTTACAACAGCCAGAATCTGGAAAAACCTGAGTGCCCGAGAACAGATGACTGATTAAAGAAACTTTGGTACGTCCACACAATGGAATACTATGCAGCTGTTAGAAAAGATGAAGTTATGAAATTTGCATATAAGTGGATCAACATGGAAAGTATCAAGTTAAGTGAAATGAGTAAGAAAAAGAGGGACAGATGTAGAAATATTGGGCACCCATTAGTAAAAAATATTCACATGCCAATCAGGTAACTGAGTAGAAAATAAATCACAAGGGATTCGTTATCTAAACTAAATTGAATCTATTTAATTTTGCTTCTCATTTATTTTCTCATCTGTTCCTTTTGTTGCTTCAGTTGTGATGAGGAGGCATCACACAGGCTTGGATGCAGAGCTCCTCATCTAATAGGCTGTGGTACATGCACGGAGTCCTACACTTTAGTTTTGGTACTTGCTGGGACCACACTTATTTCATTGAGGTGCACAGGCATTTTGGCCTGGAGCTTGCCAGATGTCACTGCGGTCCTCACACGTGCGCCTGAGTGGTTACACTCCTGGATCAGTGATCACACAATTCCCTTAGAGAGTAGGGGTGCACTTGACTTGCAGTGCTCACACACACACACACACACACACACACACACACACACACACACACACCTCCTCTGCCCTGCCACTGCATACTCTCTGTTGTAGCACTGTGAGCCCCAAACAGCAAAATTGTGAGACTGCTCTTTGCACATGTGAATAGTAACAGGGATCAAACTCATGGCCTTGTGCTTACAAAGCAGGCACGTTTAGCCCTTTAGTCACCCCTAACCCCTCATGAGCCACCCTTAACCCCTCATAAGGAAAACTTTTATTTTTACTTTCAGTTAGAAATCTTATATTTAGTATCTTATGCTTTTTAAAAAAACCAGCGTACTAAATTTAATTTTCTGTCCTAACTTCAAAGGATAGGGTTAACTTCAAGTAAGTCTTTGTGTACCTTGAAACAAACCCCATAAGTCTCTGCACTAGCATTTTTTGGCTAGATGCTTGGTGGTAGAGGCAGTTTCTAGTTGCAACCAAAAGAAAGAAAGGGCCAAAAAGTAGATAACCAGTGATAAACCATGGCTCAAGTCAGTTGAAACATTCCTCTGTGCCTAATTCTGCGGAAAATTCCATGTGTTCTGATAAAATGCAATACTGTTTTAGAGAAAGCACAGGAAGAAAGAAAAAAGTGAGCCTGCCCATAATAAACAGCAAACTATCATGGGGGACATTTCCAAAGTTACAAAATTGAATGTCTAGCCTGAAGTCAAATATCTGTAAATAGCTGCTTCTGGAGGTCAGCAATTAGAAATGACGGTCAAGAAAAGAAGTACCCCCAGAGACATGGTGGCCATGTCATAAACATAGCAAAGCCTGATGTTGGGGGAGAAAAATCTCACTGTCTAGAGGGCAGGATGACACAGGATCCTCCAGCAGAGCCTGTGAGAGACACCATCCTTTTGGAAAATGGCTCCATCTCCACAGCATCTTAGCAGGGAGGGAAGGAAACCCTTGGCTAGCCCATCTGCTTTCCTAGATTCACACACTCTTGTGTTTGAGACTTTTCTAAGACAGTAATCATTCAGTGTATTTTGTTTCCAAGACCATGGGAAAAAAGAGTAGAAATAAATACCACAGTCTTGGCATAATAGCAAGAATAGAAGGGGAAAGACAGATAGGAGCTAGTTCAACCAAGGCAAACCTTTCCATTTGTTGTGAGATGAAGCAAGGATAATAGGCTCCCATCAGGAATCTTTTTCCTCAGGAGTGTCATTCTGAGCTTCTGAGGTGTACTCTCTTCCTATTAAGTACAGTAAAGATTCCTCTGCTCCTGAAAAGAATTTCTGTGTCCAGGAATTCATGCTTACTTGAAGAGACCACAGCCAGTAAAACTGCTGAGCAGGGATATCTCACATGGGCTAAGCACCATGCTGGGCCTGAAGTGGAATTCTGTGCAATCTGGAACCTTCTGTTCTGCCAATGATTGTGAGTGATAGTGGGCAAGTTTCTTCATCTTCCTGGCCAACCACTTCCTCAAACATAAACTAAGGTCATAACAAAGACCTTGTATGGTCAAAAAGTAAAATAACTAGCTGGCATTAGGCAGAAGGGACATGAGAAATGTCCTTTTCCTTTTGCTTTCTCAACTCCCTCACTTCATGCCTTACTATTGCCAAGGTAAGTGCTCTTGGATGCTCTATACCTATAGAGTCACCACAATGTGCAGTGAAAGAGGACATTCTCCTAAAGAAATCTCAAGAAGGTAATATTCATGGTGACAGGGAAGATAATGTTGCCAGAGGGCTCCATGGTGGAAAACTGTCACAATGAAACAAGTCAGGGCTTTGGAGATTAGATGTCATAGGCACAAACAAAGGATCAGGCCAGAGAAGTTTTTTACCTGGCTAACTATTACAAAGATTTTTAGGTTCTAGTTTATTATTTGAGAACAAGTTAGGCTTAAAGGAGATGAGTAGCCACAACGTTTTATACTGAGTGGGTGTGAATTAACGCTGGTCTCCTCATTGTTTCAGTATGTGCACATTTTAGCAGAAAGAGAAATAAATGAGCTTTGGTTTCACCTGTTGTGATTCTCCAAACAACTAAAAACAATTTAAAAACACAAACACACAAATGCTGCTAAAGCTACCATCAACATCGTGAACTTCTTAATTTGAGGAAGGGACCTAATTTTGTGTGAAGGAAGGAGAATTAAGGAACCTGTATATCAATTTATCTCTCTTTTCCAGATGAACTACTCAATGCTGAAAATAGTCAAACAGTGTCTCAAAGTTGAGTTGTCTAGCTGGGTCTTGAAGCAAGACCTTAGCTGCTTCATTCAGCATGTTCTAAGATATTAATTTCAAACTACCGTGCATTCGTCGATTGCCTCGAGCAGGCCCCAGTAACGTCTCTTCGTCCTAGTCCTGAGATTTTTTTTTTTTAAAGTGCCATATTCAAGGCTCTTTCACAGTTAGGAGAATGAGACCCTTCATTGTTACTGGTATTTGGCATATTGGGTATGCCACGGGGAGTTTGCCAGACTCTGCCGTGCATTAAAGAAGAAAAAAATGCAAAGGTCTATACAAGAGTTTCAACATATAGCCATTGCTATTTCTGGCAATGAGAATTTTGAGGAATCCTCAACCCTGATGCTTGGAAATATAAGTACTTGAAAACTTGTCTTATCACTAGCTTGAAAGGCCTCTTTACATTTTCCAAGTGGGCTCAATACCACAGTGGAAAGCCGATAGGCAGATTTGGCTAAGCCAGGCTGTTTCTTCACATGTCATTCCTTTTGGCTTTAGTCAAGCAACATAGAGGCTCTCAGATATTATTTTTATAAGAACTTGCTGAAAATCACTATAAATATCTGTAGTAGAAATTTGGACAAACAAGATGACTGGGAACAAGATGACTGAGTATAGCAAAAAATTCAATGCAGTAGACTAATGTTTACAGTCTCAAACTGACAACTTTGAGCTACCCTTCTGAATAACTCAGAATACTATCTTTTTGGAGCCCAGTGTCAGAGGGTATTTTTCATATCCCCTCTTTTTAGCCCCATGCCTTTCTGGAAAACAGACATCCTGCCCCCACCCCACTCAGTTCTAAGGGACAAGATCCTGGTGCATCTGCCAGGATTTCTCAACCTCAATACCAGGGCTGGAGCGATAGCACAGTGGGTAGGGCGTTCGCCTTACAAGCGGCCAACATGGCCGACCCAAGTTCAATTCCTCCGCCCCTCTTGGAGAGCCCGGCAAGCTACGGAGAGTATTCGATATGCCAGACACAGTAACAACAAAGTCTCCAATGGAGACATTACTGGGCCCGCTCGAGCAAATCGACGATCAACGGGAGGGCCTTTACCTTTACCAGTACCATGGATAGTTGGGGTGTCCTTTGCTAGGGGGGTTGCTCTGTGCTCTAGATTGGACGTTTAGCATTAATACTGACTGGTCCCCATAAGGACCAATGTCTTTCATGTCTTTGGAATATGTCAGTCACAGGAATACCTTTTTACCTACGATTAGTCCAAGTACGTGGGTGAATTCTGGCTATTGAGATCCTGCAGTAAAGATTTCAGATTTGGATTCTGAAAACAGATCCCACACTCAAAGGCATTGATGATTGTCATTCTTGAGGAGACTGTTATGTTTGGAGAAGATGTGTATACAGGTGTCAATATACTTGGAGTTGCACTACCCACAATGCAACTACTGAGAACCTGGCTTGAGATGAAACTGAACAGCCCTTGTTATTGGTTGGAGGAAAGAACTTCTTTACTTTTCAGTTGAGTTGGGGTTTCCTCAAATTATAGCAAAAAGTTCTTTATATAAAGTTCCAACTGTATTGTACATTACACATATTCATGAGAGCAATGTAAACATCTAGAACTAAACTTCCCTGACATTAAAATATACTTATTTCCATCTTAAGATTACTTTATGCTATTTGTAACATTCCTAGAATTTCATTACCCTCCCATTCACAATTACTAACCATTATTAGGAAATAATTGAATGTTTATAATATCCTTGTGCAGGGGCCATGCTAATCTTCTCTGTATCATTCCAATTTTAGTATATGTGCTGCCGAAGCGAACCAGCTCCTGGAAGAACAGTGCAGTCTCCTGCCCCCGCACCTGACTGTCCTCGCCGCTGGGGCCCCTTGGAGGGGAGCGGGTTGAGCTTTCCTCCCGGCCCCGACCAGGGCTCCAGCAGCCAAAGACCTCCAGGACCAGCCACCACCATGCTGAGACCACTCTCCGCACACATGAAGGTACTGGCAGAGGGACAAAGTCACACGGGTTCCGGGGCCGAGATCTCCAAGCCTACTCGGATTTGGGCCGAGCATCCTCCACCCAGATCCTCTAATCCATAATCCTATTATGACATCTTATTATCTCATTCCTACTTTGGACAAACTGGCAGGCTACCGAATGTAGCCTGCCCACACGGCAGAGTCTGGCAAACTCCCTGTGTCGTAGCCAACATGCCAAATACCAGTAACAATGATGGGTCTCATTCTCCTAAAAAGCCTTGAATATAATCTCAGGGCTAGGATGAAGGAGACGTTACTGGGGCCTGCTCGAGGCAATCGACGATTAACAGGATGATTTGTTATTTGTTGTGATTTTTATAATATAAAGAATATACACTAAAAAAACTTGAAACAAGCATGAAATTAAGTTAACTCTTGCTTGGGCCACATGAGAACCAATTGTATCATTTTCTCTACTTTAGGCTACTTTATAAAACTAAAAAAATTTAAGAATAAAGATGGGTGTGGCCATAATTTTTTAAGTAAAATACAGATTCACTTGTTAAAACTTCAATTTTAAAATTAAGATTTCAAATTGATAACATTACTAAAATTTATGACTACATAAAATTGTAGATTTCTGAAGGAAGAAAAAGCTAAAATAAGGTGAAAAAAAGTTATTTGTAAAACTTTAGAGATAACTGTACTATATAAAATAAAAGTGAAGTAAAGTAAAGGCCTATATATATAAAATAAAGATTAATATTCTTATCATATACAGATCCATTATAAATTAATAAAATAATCCAATAGGAAAATGGACAAATATGAAGAAGAAATTCATATACCAAGTCAAATAATAAAGACATAGAACTATTCTCAACTTTAGCAGCACAAGTAAAAATCAATGTGTATTGTTATTATTTATTATTATTTAATTACAAACCTCGAAAAAATTCTAAATAACCAGTGCTGGCAAAGGCAATTAAAATGCCCTATTTTTAGAAATGTAAATTGCTTTATTTTAAAGGATAATTTGTAGATATGTATGTATTATATATACGCACAAATGTATGTGATACATATGCATATAATTGCATTATCTTTTAATCCAACAGTTTATCATCTAGAATAGAGTCCCAAGTTAAAGTTATTCATTATAGTGTTAATCAGAATATGAAAAAGCAGAAAATACATGTTATGCAGGTGATTCAGTAATGGGTTATTCATGCAATTGAATGTTATATAACAATAAAAAACTATTTTAATATAGTTACAACATAAAAAAGGGGTATTAAATAAAAAGGTGAACAATCAAAGATACCAATAAGGTTAATTTCTACTGAATGATCAGCATTTATTAGGGGGAAATTCACACTAAAACTACACCAAGTAAGAGAAGAAAATTATCAAATAGGTAAAAAAGCTAGGATGATTAGTAATAAGGTTGAGTGAGGAAGATGTAACAATATAAAATCTATGTGGTTACAGAGTATGTTATCCTCTGAACCCAGAGAGAACATCAGAGGAACTTGTTTTGTTTTTGCCAGGGGGAGGTACCCCTCTAAGATGCCTCATGGACCTCACCTCCAGCTTGCTCTAGCATTGGTCTACTCCTTTCTCTGGAAATGGGATTCCAGAAAGGAATAAACAATAAGTGTTATGAAGATATGTATTAAAGCTGAGACCTCTTGAGGAATGCCATCATCCAAAAAGCAAAATGTCTTAGAATTTAAAGGGAGAACTTGAGGAATGTATCAGAGTAAATGGAACCATGTGCCCAGAAAACCCCTTAACATCACTGGTTCCTGTTCTTCACAATGGCTAGTTAGGTTTAGGCATCTTTGCATCAGCTCATCTGTTCGAACACTTGCACAGATCGCTGCTGGGGGAGCCCTGGCCAGGATTGAGAAAAGGTGGGCACACATGCTAAAGATCTCCACAGAACAGGGACTGAACAGCTGTAGAAACATATGAAGGCACAGAAAAAAGTCTGTGGGAAAAAAATCAGCCTCTGAATACACAGTAAACGTGTAAGAGTAAATAACAAAAAGCTAACAATAGCTATTACTGCTAGGTAGTGAGATCACAGATTTTTCTCTTTCTTTTAGGTAACTTTCTTAATTATCCCTCTTTTACTGCAAACATTTATTATGTTTATAATTAAAATAATTTATTCTGGTTTGTGAAAAAGATGCAGAATCTCCTGCCCCCACGCCAGGCTGTCTTCACCAGGGCCCCCCCACCCAGAGAGGGGGCGGGTTGAGTTTCCCTCCCCACTCTAAGCAGAACCCTGGCAGCCAAAAACCTTCAGAAAACAGCCACAGCCATGCTCAAGGCCACTCTCCACATGCTCAGATGAGCCTCATGAATGAAGGAACTAGCAGAGGGATCCAGGAATGCAGGACCTGTGGCTGAGATCTCCAAACCTGCTCGGATCTGAACTGGATCTCCTCCACCCAGACCCCATTTTCCAGTAGCTTGGCAGCAACACCCACAAACAGCCCCCGGCACCATGTAATCTCATCAATGGCCAAGATCTAGAGACTATAAAACAAAGCTCCCATAAGAGAGCCATGCAGTATTTCCTGGAGCGCACAACCTCTTATAATCTAGCTGGGTCTCCTCCAGGAAACACCTGTAAAAACCATTAGAGGCCACCCCAAAAGCCTCCATCCCTCTCAGAGAGTCCAGCAAGCTACCAAGAGTATTACACCTGCACTGCAGAGCCTGGCAAGCTACCTCTGATGTGTTCGATATGCCAAAAACAGTAACAATAAAGAGCCTCATTCCCATGACCTTGAAAAGAGCCCCCAATATGCCATTGGGCTATGCACCCGCTCGAGCAAACTGATGATCAACAGGGTGACAAGTGACAAGTGTGTAAAAGACAAGATGGGATAGATTAAGAGAAAGATAATATGTGAATAAGCTTGGTGTGAATCCCTTCTTCAATCTGTCTGCTCTTTCCTTTAATATGTATATATTTTTTTCTACGCTACAAAATAGTTAACTGCAAGCATTTTTATCTTGTTTATTTATTTTGTTAGGCATACAAATAGTAAATAAATAAATTTATGAAATTGACTCCTTTCAATAGCAACAAAGGAAGAAAAATTTCACAAAGTTTCTAAATAGTATAATATCATAAATCCAGTTTACTTTTAAGTAGTGTGGGGAGTATCTAATTTTCATAATGACAATGATTTCTAATTATAGTGATCAAACTAACAAATAATTGGAAAATATATGTGTGCATGCCTTAACTCATAATAATAAACAAAGGCGTTTTACCCTAGTAGAGGGTAAAGTTCTAAAAGGAACATGGGGGCAGGGCAGATATCTCAAACGGTTGGAACACATACCTGACATGCACAAAACCTGAGTTCAATCCTCAGCACTGCATCATGCCTCGCTGGGGGGGGGGGGGGGGGTGGGTGGCTGGAGATCACTCCACAGCGGGTAGGGCATTTGCCTTGCATGTGGCCAACCTGGGTTCAATTCCCAGCATCCCACATGGTTCACCGAGCACCTCCAGGAGTAATTCCTGAGTGCAGAGCCAGGAGTAACCCCTGTGCATTGCCAGGTGTGACACAAAAAGCAAAAAACAAAAACAAAAACAAAACAAAAAACCAAGCCTCACTGGGCCTAGCCCTGATGACCCCTGAGCACAGACAAGTATAGTTCTGAGCACTGCCTAGGTAACCCAAGTGGCCCCCAGCTCCACTAGGTCAAGCTATGCTGCAAATAAAGAAGGAGAGAGATGGAGGGGCACAGCATTTTCAAGAAAATACTAAACATTATTTTACTCTTTATCCACTTCCCCCCCAAAATTACCCATTTTCACTTTAATAAACTGTTTCTTTCAAAATGCAGTTTATTCAGCTTTTAACTTTTTCAGTGTAAACAGAAACTAAGTATAGGAATTGGCATGAGGAACAGTGCCATAGATTGGAGAGATAGTACAGGAAGTAATGCATGTGTAGAGTCCTTTTGTGGGGGGCAGGAGTGGGAGAGGGCTCCCAAGCAGTGCCCAGGACATCCTGGGCCCCTCCTAGCAATTCTCAGCCAAGCGATTGGTTCAGTGTCAGAACGTGGTTCTGCTCAGACACTGTGGTGCTGCATGCAAGGCATGTGTTTTAATCCCTGTACTGTCACTCTGACCCCAAACTCTGCAGTCTTTTGGAAACAAATAAGCATGTCAAATGATTCTAAACTATACCTGCTAAATCTAGTTGATGATTTAGAGTAACCTTGTTATAAACCATGGAAGAGAAACTAAACAAAACCAATTACAGTGTTAGGGGGGTATTATACAAAACTTGATTTGCTTTATTCTTAGCCACTCATAAATGCCTTTGAGACAGAAAATATTCAAGAATAGCAGTTTTTCCATTTTATATTTTAGGTTGCTAAAAGCAATATTTTGTGCCAGCCACTAGTCAAAGCAATTTACATGTACTTACTCATTTCATTCTAACACACTGTGTGACGAAGATACATTTCCCATCATCTCCATTTTATAGGTGAAGAAACTGAGTCATATCAACATTATGAACCTACACAAGGTCAGAGAGGCCAGGTGAGTTGCAAAGTCACCATTTGAACCTGATTATTCTGAATGTTTAATGCATGTAATTAATTATTCTCAAGAAATTCTCAACCACTTCCTTACCTTAGAAGACCTTGGTTTGAAAGATCCTTTGAAAGCTTCTTCCACTACCCAGCCGTCGCCACACTCCAGGACGCTTTCCGGACCCGCGCGGCAGCTCCGGCCTAGACCCACGCACAACTGAAGACCCACAGAACAAGGTAAGCGGAACTCTCTGAGACCTTGGACTC